TTATTTCTGTAGCTTTGAGCTATCGTGTAGAGCTGGGAGACGTCTCATTTTAATCAGAAATTTGCAGACCACAATCATGTCTCATTAAGAAAAGGTTTGGTTATTTTTTAGAGTTTCTGAAAAATTGGTTTTCCGGAAAACCGGGTCTTCAAGAGTCATGGGCCTGAATTCTTTTAGGATATTTACTACCTCACTGAGGTCTATCGGTCCATGTACAAAGCATTCGAATCGGAAGTGGGCATCTCGACAGGTTCCGTCGTAAGTATAGTGTGTTGAATATTTAGAAAAGTAGTAGATCCTTTTATAGCTTAATTTATGGTAGTCTTTTTCAAGTGAATAAAACAAACATTTATTGTAATCATAAAGTATATATTTTGAATTCTTTTCAGTAAAGCTATCTACTTTTTTTATATAAACAAGATGACATGTGTACATGTTGAAAGATCTTTTTTTCCTTTTGTTTATCACATTTGTTTCCTTGTTTAGAATTTTTATTTCACTCAACAACTGATCCACTGAGTATTAATTTTCAATCGTTTAAACCAAATTCGAATGGTAATACTCTTCTACTTAGATATTTATTATCTCACATCTGTGTTTTCTTTTCAGCTAACGTACCAATTACCAATCACACAGGATGTTGTGGATCAAACACGTCAACATTATCGTCACCGATATTACCAATCTATTATGATGGACATTCATCTTCGTCATCTCCATCAGCAGCAACAGCACCGGCAAATCAGATTTCAACTCCTCATTGTAAGAACTCGTTATTGTACTAAATTTCTTTTAACGAACGAATTTGTTTCATTCAATTCATTCAACATCGTTTCATTTTGCAAAATAAACGATGAAAAGTCTTGTCTTACAATATTAAGAATCGTTGTTTAATGTCTGCTTATTGAATAATTAAAAATTGAAGTCATTTTTGTACTATTCTTCTTAAATTATTGACGGCATATTAATTTACTGTGCATGTATTGTATTATACAATAACTAAAGTTGAATTTCTATTTTTTTTGTGCTAGTAGTTGATCGTAATGGTATGAGCTTCATGAATCGTCATAATGAACAATGTAGTGAATCATCAAGTCTAAATCGTCCAACATCCATTCATTTACAATCTTTTTGTGATAATCAAATGAATGGCAATAATGGTCAATCATCCAGTTACAAACAGGTTTACTAAGGGTTTATTTCTCATAATAGAACTGTATTTATAATTTACTTTTTGTCTTTCTTTTTTTTCTAGTGGTTATCTCCTTCGCCAAGTACAAAATATAATGCTGCTATTATTGATATTGAATCGGACATTTTATTTAATGATTTGTTAAATTTTAATACACACAAAAAAGGATTATTTGGTAAACGAATGACACAAGATGATTTATTATCGTGGTCAAAAGAACCATTGACGAAACCAATTTTAAAAACAGTTGATAAAATTTTGAAAAAAGAAGCACCAGAAACATTTAAACATATCCTTTTAACAGTTGCTTTCTCTATGAATAAACTATGTTTTCTTATTATTTCTTTAACATTTTGTACTAATTCAGTCATATATGGGTGATCGAAAAGCAAAACAAACTGTTGCATCATTGAACACATGTTTAGAATTAACAACGAAAGGTTGGAGCTTGCCTCCAATTCGTGATGAGTTATATCTACAATTAATTAAACAAACTAGTTATAACATATCAGCGGAAAGTCTGCAACGTGGATGGGAATTAATGGGTAAAAATTTTTTAATTTAAAAATTCACTTAATTCACAACTTTTGTTTCTCCTATTTCAGCTGTCTGTCTTTCGTTCTTTCCACCATCAGGAAAGCAACTGTTAAAAGGATATGTTTAAATGTTTCTGG